TGGTGTCCTGTTCGAGTAATCGCTTCAGGGTATCGGTACGGAATAGCTAACTAATTTTAATACGCTGCTTCGCGGGAGGATAAAATCGAGAATACGATTTTTCACAAAATAATATATATTAATTATCTATACGTTAATGACCGTTTTCAACTTGACGATGTGATGTTCGATTTGTTTTATTACAATTATTATCATAAAAGCATTATGTTATTTTCAAGAATATCTAAAATCTGGCGCCCATATTGCGTTATATTGATTTTTGAGATATTTGAGATATTTTGAGAATTCGTGAAAGTTTGATTATTATATGTATTTTAATAAATAATAAAAATACATTAAAATTTGTCATTTTCATTTTCATTAAAATATGTATAATATTATTCGTAAATTTTGTTATTTATGAATACGCAAAAGATTACACGCGAATTAAATTTCCAGAATAAATAAATTCAATGTTATTCGTTTTATTCTGAAACAAAATAAAAAAATTGCAACAACAGTGTTTTTTTTTCTACATGTGAATTATTGTCCGCGGATATTATCCTACGTGTTTTTTGCGATTTTTTTTGTTTAATAAACAAGTGAAATAAACTTTTGTTGTGTTGATTGAGGAATACATTTGTGCCCGAATCCATATGGTTATTTAATACTTTTTTAACATTGTTATGTTTAATAAAAATATATTTCCGCTATCCTTTTCTCCGACTTCTACTTGTGTACATTTCTAACAGTAAATAATCTATCTTAAATATTATTTCTCACTTTTCACTCTCGAATCTTATTCGATAATTTCCTATGGATACACCTTGCACATTTTTCGATAATCGTTATTCTTAAAAGTCTTTTCCAAATGTCTAAAATATGCGAAAGCGAGTGTACCGAGTGTTTCCACCCACTCCTTCGCTCCTTCGAGATTCATCTGTACGATCCCGATCACTCTGATGTAAATCTGATGATTGCCATAAACAAGGGAGGGCAAAATGCACAGGAGGCGGCACTGGGCCTCTCATTACCCGGTTCGGGACCCAACTCGACAACCGGCCGATCTCATATCGGACGCATCTATCTGGAGCACCCAGATACATAGGCGGTCCTCATCCTATACGTGATGAGCAGAAAATACAAGCGCGTCAAAGCGCTTGAGATTCTCCGGCAGATACACATCGCGATTTTGGCGGCGAGGTGGCTGCGCGGCAATATATTTGCGGACCATTATGATTTATTTGCCGCAGATCGATACGAAGAAAATATTGTTAATACACGTATTCGTGTGATTTATCGACGCCTCGCGCAACTACAGGCGTTCAAGTATCGGTTTTCATAACGAATGATGCCTGCATAAATCATGATTATTAGCTCGCGCCGGTATTATATCAGCTTTTCCATTTCCGCTTTTGAAGCGGGAACAATCGGGAATTAAAAATTAAAAATAATATTTCCGATATAATAATATCAGTAAATTAAATGACACAACTTGCGATCGCAAATTTGAAAGAGAATTTCTCTTTATTTTCCTTTGATATTAAAAAAATGAGGAATATATAGTAAAATTCATTTAACATTTACTCAATTTTATTTACTCATCAAGTAAATCTAAACATCAATTTTTTTATTGATATGAGTCGAAATGTTATTAATTAACATCGTAATTGATAAAACATCGAAATTACTTTTGCATACGAGATTTCTGTTGCAAACAGCAACGCCATTCGATAAAGTTGGTTTCTGTAAATGCTCTGGAACTTATTCAACGATCCTGCATTTATCTTCTAACGAAAGTATAATACCGAATAATGGTATCACCACAGAGAAGAAGTCTGAGAATGGTCATTCCGGCCCCATCGCCGTACACTATCGCCATCAACTTCTATACTTGAACCATAATTCGCATTTATTTTACGATAAAATTGCCGATAAAATCATGTTTCATAAAAAAAATAAAAAAAAAAAACAGATGTGATACGTGTCCGCACTAAATTTATTCCATGAATTTATTAGAATTTATTAAATTAAAGTTTATTAAATATAAAGTTCGTATCACATATATTATAGATTTTAAATACTGATATTGAATATTGAAACACAGCCTTAGTTAATGTATAAGATAAAGAAAATATTTTGTTTCCCTGCAAAAATTATATATATTCCTACAATAGAATCCTATAATTATTCATTTACTAAAAAGAAAAAAAGTCTTTGTCGACATGTACGCTTTCATTTCATCAAAATTTAATATCTATTCCTATTCCTAATATTTTCTCGAGTCGGAGTTTAATCATACGTGTTGTAAGAAAATGCGATATTTTAAATTAACGATAGAAGAAACATTATCGCAAACTTCGTATTTCATAAATGGATGAGCTCGTTAGATGAGCCAGCACAGAATAAAAGTCTGGGTAGGTAGAAATGTTATCAGAATTTGCGGGTAATCTTTAAATTATATTCAAAAATCATCTTTTTACATCTTTTTAACATTTTTCAGATTATATTAAATTAGATTTATATATTTTCTCTATTTTTTGCAATTATTATATGTATATATAATAATACTTAGAAAAGTTATGCTTAAATTGAAAAATATTTAAATTTTTCGATTAATAATTTAGGAGATATTAAATAAATCCAGTATTTTATTTCATGAAGTTACTATTTATTAGCACAATAATTATTACATAGGATATTCATAAACTTATGTCCTCAAGTGATTGATTAATGCGGATACATGTTACGAAACGTAACGATACAAATACATATATTTATATCACAGTCGTAGATAATGAAATTAGTATTAATTCGAAGTTATGGTATCTATTTAAATGCCTAAAATATTCGCCCAGATCTTCTTCTATAAGAATAAAAAAAAAAAAAAACTTACAACTTACACGACCAACGTATGACCATACATACAAATCCTGCAAAAGTATTCTCTTTATTTTGAAAAACACGGTAAAAAATTTTCCCGGGCGAGCCTAACTTAGATATACTGACACGCTAATTAATCTTAATCGTTAAAAGTTTGATTCGCAATGGATAATAAAGCGAAACATGCGCACGCGCGCGCGAGTTTCTCCGCCCAGCGAAACGGAAGTTTCGAAGCGACAATAAACGAGGATGACGCTGAAGGGACGTTCGCGTAGACGATTCTAGACGATAAAGTCAAGTCGTTTTAATGACCACTATTACTATTACATAGGTACCTATTGTTATAACCGTGCCTACAATCGCGGAATGGTGAAACCAGTCTTCTTGCGAACGTCGTAAAAACGACATTCTCGCGCGCGACTATCTCGAGAAGAATACTCGTTTTCATTTTCCGTTAGGAGCCAAGTACGTCGAAGTGAAATAATACAAAAGAAGAATCAAAAAGATCTCGGTATAAAATTAGAAAGATATAAGCGATCGTGACTGAAAAATTCTTATCGAGAGCTATGACCTCGGGAGATGAAATTATATTATTCTTGTAAAGATAATATTTTTACCGCGGATACGGAACGTTCCAATTTCTATCCCTGGAAAGGAAGGATCTGTCGAAGGATCGATTCTTTAATATTATTTCACCCGGATAGAATTGATGATTGTAGATCTTCATACGCACTTGTAACATTTTATCGAGCGTACACATTGTCGACAACAAGATCGAGAATTTCTACCGACATCTACGGACACATTAACGATTCGAGAGAGAGTAGGATTTGCTATAGATGGACACGTCAATCCGACTAATTCTACCTAATTAGTAATCTAATTAACATCGTAATGTGTTACACGGGCGTTACGAGTTTACTGGAAACACGCTGGGTAATAATCTTAATTAACGGTGTGGATCGGTTTTTCAAGTGTCAAAGTGGAAGCACAATCGATGCTCGGATTCTTCGAATATCGATCAATTAAAACTCGAGCTCTTCTATTGATTCGTATATATTGGCACGATGTCTTGTTTCCAGTACTCGTTGTCCCTCTTAATCTTAATCAATTTATCTTTTTTGCATTTGAATGTGCGGCAGTATTTCGTTCCTTGATTTATCGACCGCTATGTCGCTTATTGAATTGGCATCAATCTTGCGTACTTATTAATTATGAATTCACATAGAGACGTCAATGAAATTTGTTTTACATTAACATTCTACGCTATGAAGAACTGGCTCTTCTCTTCAATTCTTCTCTCTAACATTACTTCAATTACTACGCGATAATATTTTTTTTAAACGCCTCGAGTCTTTGCCGATCTGAAACACGTTGCTTCAACGCTGAATCGGCGTTCTTTCTTCGAACAACGGTAAAACAAATACATTTTTCCTTTAATCGTGACGATAATTACCATTCCATCGTCGTGCCTTTCTTTCTGAAATTATTGGCATTTCACGGTGAATGCAGTCGGGAAAGCCGATTAAACTTAATTTCGTCGTAATGACGGTTTCGTCGCAATTATTCAGATCGTGCACTTTGAAAGCCTCTTTGAATGCCTCTTTGAATGCCTCGGTAGCGCGCACCTTTAATTACGAACCGTGCGGAACAACGTTTCCCCTGGAAAGAAAACTTTCTTTTCGTACTGTGAATAACAATAATGTGTAAAGAGCCGATAATACCCCGGAAATACATTTTGCATATATTTGCATAACTCTTTTTCTGTTCTGCCGTTTGGTTTTCGTGTCAAGGTTGGTTTCGCGTCATCTTTGACATTCCATTACGAAAGCGCTTGTTCTTCCCCTCGCATTTTACATCGCCGCATTCGAATTACAAAGTGCGACAAGATAGCCGGATATCGTCCCACTTTTCTGAACCTCTAAGGATCCTCATAAAAGATAGATAGCGTGTGGAACTGTATTACCACGCGAAATAAAAATCTCCCCATTTTACTTCGCGTACTCGCCGAAGTAAAAAGGCCGAGGTAAATGTATTTTATACATACGTAATTAATAATTTTTTTTTATACATACGTAATTAATAATGATTCTTTATTCTATTATTTATATCATCACTTAAAAATTCATCAATTTTGATTAATTTCTTTGCTCCTATTTTTATTCAGAAATTGAAACATTTAACATATCCGATATCCGATGTGAATTAATGACAATGAAATAATCTTTTAAAAGCGTTCCTCGCGGACGGGAACGAATAGATCATTTATCGCTGTAACGTTCGATAGAGAACTTTCTTTGCGTCTATAATAAATCTCACGACATCGATAGTCGCCAACTCGAAGAACTCCTCGAAGAGAAAGAGAGTGGAACGGCGCGTGAACGGGGAGAGATCCGGGGAGTCGCCTCGGGGATACTTTCTGTTTCGCCCGGGGGGCCCGCAAGTCAGAATTCGCAGTCGCGGGCATCAATCGCAGTCACTCTCGAGAGGTGCTTATAGAGGGATTGATGAATGTGCCGTCTTGGCCTGCGGACGATCTCGCAGTTTGTGCGCGTGACACTAACGGATTAGTGTCTATTTCGGAGAAGACACGAGACCCTCCTTCTCCGGTCGCCCCGCCCTTCTACGTCTCTCTTCGCGAGCCCTTCGAGCCCTTCGAGCCCTTCTCGATTTCTCCCTCGGAGATGCTGATTTCGCCTCGATGCACGAGAACAAGGATAACGCGGAACATCGGGATTCAGCGCGCTTTACTTAACCATTAGCTCTTACCACCTAGCTGGATGATATTATATCGGGAGAGACACGAGAGAAGAATAGAGATGAATTCAAGTAAAATTACCGGGAGCCGGAAGAGCTCCTCGGGAAAAGTATTCGCCCTCTCTTTTCATCATCGTGCTTAAAGCTTCGTCGATATATCTCCTCCCCGTCTTGGGCCCTAGGACCTTCTACTACGACTACTTCGGAGGAAGAGCAAAAAGATAAAAGGATGGATTTCCGATGGAATCCGCAGTGTCGCCTTCTTAGCGTTCCTCGCCTCCCTTCGACAGTTCTCGACACATTCGCGATCCGAGACGCCCGGTGTGTAAGAGTGTCTCCTGGACTCCTTGATCCGTTTTCCCGTACTCGATATTAAGTGGATCCTTCTTCCTCGATGGGATTACTTCCGGGAAAGAAGGCGGGAGTCGGGCGTCGCGCTGCGCCGGCCCTATGAGAACTTGGAGACGTCAGGCTTGTCTCAGAAGTTCGCTTCCAACGAGTTCTCCAGCGCCTCGCTCAGCGCCGGTACCAGCGTCTGCAGGGAGAAGTAACGCGAACGGTCAGCCGCGTCCACGCTGGTTACATGTTGGAATTGGCACGGCTGACTGATGTTGCTCTTAGCCGGCAACACCACCTTTTTCTGTACGGGCTTCTTCTTCTTCTTGCCTGGCGCCGATAAGCTGATGTTTTCCGGGCAGGACACGAGACGTTCTATGTGCTGCCACAGATCGTTCGCCGCTTTCGAGTTGTCGAAGCTAAGCCCGGCCAGGCGAGTGTGGTCCGACGAGAGACACATCGTGTGAAAAGCTGGCCCCGACACCTGCGAAAAATTTTGAAAGCTCTTACGGAGGATCAAGAACATAATAATAATAATAATAATAATAACAGCAAGTCGTATTTCTTCGCAACAAAGCGATCCCTTTGTTGACTTTTAAGATATAAAAAATCCCTCCGCCCCCCTACGTATCGTACGCATACTACCCCACTTGTGTTCTGTTTCGTCTGGCGAGCACGAGTAAGGAACCCGAAACGGTGTTAAATATCCAATGCTGAAATTTAACCCGCTTTGTAACATAGCGCGCTGTAATCTATCTAACGAGATAAACAAGAAGAGCTTGAACGGCTAATGAATTGTTTATGGCAGCAGCCCCCGGTTCATTACATCTTTTGCTTTGCATCCCAATCTGAGATTAAACATTAATTATTTGACACTAAGCAATTTATATCGAATATACATTTTATCACGCGATAACGTATTTGTAACAAAACCCCATTTTGGAAACGACTTGAAAAGAAACTTGTTTAGAATAATGAAACGACGATATTGTATACCTTGTACGATGAAAGATTGTCGATAGTTTCGCGCCAGAGGGTGAAGCAAGTACCGCGTTCTGCCAGTAGGATTTGAATCCGTCTTTTGGATCTTGATCGTGTCTCCCCAAGATCAAGAACTACCACGGGAATTCCGGTGAAACGAAGCTCCCACCTTTCTGTCTGAGAGGCGCTGCCGAGATACAGATTCGCCAGCGATTCACAGACGAACACCTGCGAATTACGAATTACGTCAGATATAATTATATTTCTTAAGTCAACCGCATATACACACAAGCCTATGACCATATTTTCTCAACCGCGTTCTACGTAAATCCGTTTGATTTATTGTTCTTAATCAATTTGCTGGAAGTTCGATTTCGTAAACAAAGCCCACCTGCGACTTTAGTCCGCGGAAGAAGGTCTCGAGTTGCTCTCGTTCCATCTGGCTAACCGGATCGAGACGAGACTCGTCGCTGTTTTCGGAACTGTCACTACCCTCGTAACTCGACGTAGCAGAAGTATCAGCCTCGCCCGTTGAGGATAGCCGCCTTCGCGTGGTGCCGCTATATTCGCTGTAATACGATGAGCTGTGTAACGACAGATTTGACTGTAGTGCGGGGCAAGATGACGCATAAACTGGCCCGTTCATTGTTGCCTGAAAAAGAAGAAAGAAACGATATAAAGTAAAAAAATCGATAGTTTCATTCAGTGAGTTTTGTCTCATTACTGAGAACTTTAATGAAATTTTATTGAAAATTATAATTTGGACTTATGAGCATTGATCTCTTAATAATCGTTGATTATGAGATTCATATTCGTTTCTAGTGAAAACAATCGTAAAAGAAAATAATAAATACAATACCGATTCATGATGAAATTTTTTTCTTTATTACGCTACGTGATGCTCATCTTTAATAGCGAAAGTAGAGCACGTACGGAATTTATTATTATGCAACGTAATATTCATTATATAATATTGTGCGAAATGCGTTGAGTACAGAGAGAGGGTTTATTATTTTGCGGAGGGGGGGAGGGAAACTGCTTGCCTTCTGCGAGCGCGCACGAAAGCCCATCGATTTCTGATACACCCTGGATTGTGCGAGCACCCTGGTACCATCCTATAAATATCCGCGACCCCTTTTATTAAACACAAGTCCGACTGTCAGAGAAATTTTAATTATCAAAATAGACTCGTTGAAATAAAAATAAAAACTGGCATAAATTCAAGTTATTTATATTATTAAATGTTACACAATTTTAAAGTTTAAGCCAAAATGTGATAATTACTCGAACTAAAAGCCAGTCAAACAAAAAACGTACGAGAGACCTATGGAAAACATTTTACTTGTTGCGAAAAATCAGTAAAATTTTTAAATTCAATAAAATGTCAAAACGCACACTCAACATTTAAAAAATAAAAAGCAGCCTTTCACAGCAGCTATTAAATAACATAAAAGTTATGACGTTGCAAATTGTTCGCTAGGTATATGTGTCGTTGCACATGCAAAATGAACAATATTTGTGAAATAATAAAGTCCAGTTGATAAAAATTTCACATAAAACGGGAGTACGATGTAAACGAACTCCATCAGTCCTGAGCGTTCGCAGGGGTGGAGGACCTCTTTACGACCTCAGAGGTGAGAAAAACTAGGTCGTCGACTTCGATACTATGATGACGTAAGAAAGAAAAGCTAAGAAAGAGACTGATAGAGACAGAGAAAGAGAGAGGGAGAGGAGAGGAGAGGAGAGGAGAGGAGAGGAGAGGAGAGGAGAGGAGAGGAGAGGAGAGGAGAGGAGAGGAGAGGAGAGGAGAAGAGAGGAGAGAGAGATATGCCTGCATATCTCTCCATGAGAGAACTAATCAACCATCAACATCCAGGGTCGACCCACTTAATGCACGCGAGAAAAGCCCGGCCTTAATTCGATCAGCGTGGCTTTAATGAATCGGCCGGATGACTAATCGTTATCTATATGTCATCGGTCGCTCGGTTCGATTCTAGGAAGAAATTCTACGCGTTCACGACGATGACGACGACCTCGTCGTCATATTCCTCGTTCATTGATGACGGGGATGTCTGATGGCACGATCGTGTCAACCGTTCCCTGGCACTTGACGAGCGCATTCCTCCGTTACTCACAATCGTTGCTGACGCGATCGTCGTGTCGCCGTCGATTCAGTTTTTATTAATCTTTAAACGGACAGATGGTGAAATGTAATAAATAAAAATTTTTTTTTTCCGGTGAACGTAAAGCGACGTATTTGCGGAAGCTTCAAACGCTCATCAAACTCTCTGTCTCTTTTCCCCTTTGTTCTTATCTATATTTTATTACATTTTTGGCGCACGCATATTTTTCAACCGCGGGGCATGTACGTATTTCAATTAAATTTAATGAATGATATAAATTTCTCAATTTTGATCGACAAGTTAGATAAATACGTCGCAAACATCGAACATTTACTGTTGGATAAATACGTCACGAACATCGAACGTTTTACTGTTGTTATCGAGAACAATATAGAAGCTCTTTTAATTAAAAGATAGCCACGAGATACATAGACATCAAATTTAATTTTTCCTAATAAATTCAATAAGAAATAGAGGCAAATATGGGAAGATTTAAGAGCCGCTTTCTTTCCTTGAATAACGCGACTTTTGAATAACATTATAAATTATAATAAACATATATTATAATAAACATGTTTTGAAGCGTGTATAGATTTTATAGGCCGGATACGACAGATTCCTTCCTTTAAGATAATTGGTACAATGACAAACCCGCATTAAACATGAATTATTAATTTCAAGTGTCAGCGCTATAATTTAGCAAGACGTCATCTTAATCGTGTAAATCAAGAAAGCCACTTGGCTGAAATAATTTATCCTTGACATTAGGCATTAGAAACAAAATTCCGCGTTGTAGATAGGATGTAGGTATTAATTGTTGAAATTACGTAAATTTAATTACCGCCGCAAATACCGGGATCCGTGGAAGGAAAATATATACAAATACCGGGGATGCTCGGCGGGGAGACTCTCCCTTTTCACAATCGACCCGCATCCATCGGTCTGCTGCCAGGCATCAATGTCGTGTGTGCGTGATGAGATATCGCGGTATAAACGTTAACGACACGACATACAAATTGAAACGCGAGCCGGTCCATGTCCCCGCGTGCGTGAAACCGCACACCGGAAGTGCATTGTCCACCGCTGCGGCGGCGAGCGGAGGGGGGAAGGGGGATGTGCCATTGTTCTCCGTTCGCGCGATAAGAGCCCCGCTTCGTTTCGATCTCCTAGATAAACTGCGGATAATTACGATCGCACGGTGCCGCTCCGTATTCTCACGAAACCGGCGCGTACGCTTCGCTTGGGAGGCAGAAAATAATTATCAGGGCGGATTAATTGGATCGCGGCGCGGCGGTAGACGGTCTTGCGAGAGACTTCCTTTCCTCCTCCGAGTAAAAGTATTCGGGATTCCATATAATTTTCCTGCCGCTCTTAAGGCACGCCGGATTCCTCGCGTTCAATTCTTAATGAAGAATCACAAACGATAAAACGTGCATTGTATACGCCTATATGCATTATTAAAATATCATTACCGAGTTGTTGTTACAATTAAAATTGTGATTATGATAATCGAATTTTATTCAGGACGGATTAGATAATTTATTGGATAGCATTGCTGAAAACACATATAAAAAAATCGTAGTATTTTTAAAAATTATAATAAAAAAGACTCTCTGTATTTAAGATTGAACGTCAAAATGTATATAAATTAAATTATAATTAATATAAATTAAACAACTATTCTTTGTTTCATATTTAATAAAATTACAGATTTCACGTAAACAGTTTTTCAAACACTTTCGTTAAACGAAGTAAGAAATGTAAAAATTGCAATTTGTTTTTATTTATCCAGTCATAATTCAAGACTTATTAATATATCACGTAGTATCCTTGCCCCGATTTTTTAATCTGCTGACACGGAAAAATTTCGCTTAGCTGGAATTTAACGAACACATCCAGGCTTTCTGTCCCAGTCGGGAGATTACGTAAGTGTCGACAATACGATTGCGAAAAGCGTTAGAAAGTGGGACAACGATAGCAATTCTTATCGCGTTGCCGTCAATTAGGCGGCAATAAACAACGCGGAATGCACTTGAGAGAAATTCGAGAACGCCAGACGCGAAGACATCGGGTTAATTGCGAGTAAAATTCCGCGCAGGATCTGCAATCTGTCGAATGACGGATCGTCACGGGTAATTCGGTGGAAGTCGACGTGACGCTGCTCGTAATTGCGCGTCATTAGAGACCTCAGACAAATACTTCGCTCGTAAAAATCTATTTAAGGCTGAACGAGCCTCAAGAAAGGGTGTGGTTCTAACGCGGTCGAGAGAGAGAGAGAGAGAGAGAGAGAGAGAGAAGAAGAGAGAGAGAGAGAGAGT